ATTCATTCAAGTTGTTGTATGAGTTCAGTATCTCTGGAAATTGTTCATTTTACAGTTCCCTGGTGGCCATTCTTTGCCTCCCATAATAGAGGATCACCCTATGCATGAGCAGCTGGTATGCCCCCAAAGACTCAAGAATACCCATGTGTTGATTTCTAGAGCTCTTTCGTAGATGGCTTCCTCCTCCCTGGCACTTTGCCTTGCAAATTTCCCCTGCGTGGGACTCCCATAATCCTCATCTCTCATAGCCGGTCTTAGCCAGTCCTGGGCGTTTTGCTTGGATTCCTTCGTTCTGTTCAGCAGTCTGGAGGCTGCCTCCAAGCCCAAAGCTGGAGTGATAGAGGGCTTATCTTGTTTTTCCCTTCTGTCATGGATCAGAGTCGTGTACTGTGATTTTCCAGTGTCTGAAAACACTAGTTTCATGTATTTCGTCCAGTTTTCTGGTTCTTTATGTTGGGATGGCAAGTCTGGAACCAGTTACTCTCACATGGTCTCTCAAATGTTTTCATTTTCTTGGTACACATTGCTAAGCTTTTCTTGCTCCAAGGTGGTACAAAGGTGATACAAATGTCCACACATATTATCTTCTGGGTCTTTCATATTCTTTAGCACTTTGGATTTATCTGGAAATAATTTTGGTGTGAAATGTGATGGTAGAGGTCTGGTTTTATTTTTTGCAAATCGTTGAGCATTTATCTTTAGCAATTACTATTTTTTTCCATATACAAGGTTATTATATGTATGTAGGTCTGCTTAATTGGTTTAGTTGATTTTTTAAAAAAATTCGGGACCGATCAAATACAATTTCTCTCATTTCATAATACATTTGCATTATGTGTTTTCTCTTCTTCTCCTTTTTGCCTCTCCCAATCTCTGTTATTTGCCACTTACCTTGTCTTAGAATGTTTTTGACATTTTTTAAAGAAATTAGCTGCTCAGGAGAATTTTTAAAAGTGTGTTTTTGTTTTACTCAAATGTTAAGTACTTTTTTTTCTTCATTAATTGTGCATTCTAGATATCATACCATATCAGAACATATAGATTTACCTCATTCATTTTACTGGGTATAATATTTTATTATATGAACTTTCCACAATTCTCTTAACCAGTTTCTTGTTGAGAGGCATTTGTTTATTTATTTATTTTTACCAGGAGAGTGACTTTAGGATCATGTTGTCAAATTATTCTTAAATTGATTTTGGTTGAGGTTCCATTGAGCTCTGAAATAATTTAGGGGAAAATAACTTTATAGTATTGATCTTGGTTCCGAGTATTTTTAAATACTTACCTACCTTTTGATAGATACTGCCAAACTGACTTCCAGAAAGGCTGGGTTTTTGTTTTTTGTTTTTTAATTTTATTTATTTATTTGGGGGGGGGGGAGGAGAGTGCGTGCACATGTGCAAGCGGGGAAGGGGCAGAGAGAGGGAAAGAGAGAATTCTAAGCAGACAGTGCAGAGCCCTATGCGGAGTTCGAACTCAGGAACTATGAGATTGTGACCTGAGCTGAAACCAAAAGTCAGGCACTTAACCCACTGAGTCACCTGGACACCCCCAGGAGGGCTGGTTTCATACTACCACCAGAAGTATATCAGAAATGGTATATCATTGGTGTTTTAGTTTGTATTCCTTTTTATTTATGGTAGAATTAAACTTTTAAAAATATGTTTAAAGCTATGTGTTTGTATTTTTGTGCCATTTAAATACTCATAATTTTAGCACATTGATCATCTTTTTTTTCTTTCCCCTGTTGAGTCTGTACTGTTTAGTACTCTTTCAGTTGTAGTGGGAGAAAAAAAAGCCAGTTGAATTAGCTGAACCAGGGGAGGAATTTAATGGTTGGTTTAATTACTAAGTTGAATAATTAATTAGTAATAATTATTAAGTTGAATGAATGAATGAATTAAATTGATTTAGCTGAGGGTAGATCTACATTTAAGATCTTAAATGATATTTTAGGGCGCTCTCTCTCTTTCCTTCTGTGTCTCTTTTCCTTCATCTTTTTGTCCTGCTTTCCTTTTTGGCTTCATTCTTGTTCACAGGTTTGTCATTGGCTTCATTCTTGGTCACAGTTTTTTGCTCTTATAGAGATTTCTGGAATTTTCTAGGTTGCTCTTTAAAAAGAGAAGAGATGATGGTCATTCTCAGAACCCATTTTAACTGCCCCTAGAGAACATTGACCTAACCTGGGTACATGCTGATTATAGGGCCAACCACAGTGTATGTGGTAATTGGGTATTTTGATTGGTCCATCCTGTGATTAATACCCTCATAGAATCATGCTAAGTAGAGAAGTTTGCAGAAGGAAGAGATTTAGGACAGACCACAAAACAGAACAAAACAAAATATTACAACTCCGTTGTAGTTTTTAAGAGCTCTTTATATTTTAAAGATATGTAAGGTTAACCTTTCAGGTTTCATGAAGGCTGGGATTTTTGTCTGTTTTGTTACCAGATCCTGAGCCTGGATAAAGCCTCACACATGGTGTTCAGTAACAATATATTGATTACATAAATAAGGATATTAATTTTATTTATAATTATTTTGATATTCAGAAGGTTGAATTTCATGTAGCCTAATTTATCAGTTTTTTCCTTTTCTGATTTTTTTTCCCTTTTGCTTTTATCTCCAGAAACTTTTTATATGACAGTCTTGTTATATTTTAAGCAGTTTTCAAAGAGTTAGCACAAAGATTACATTCAAACATATATTATTCACATTTTTGGTTAGATAATTTGTGACTTTTTCCTGGATCTACAAGTATACTGTGCTTCATGCAGCAGAATTTGAAACTTCATTTTTTACATAAATGTAATGATTTAAAATCTGCTGCTCACTGTATCAAGAAATGTTATGCTGAATGGTTTAAAAAAATTATTTTTTAATCCAATTGGTCTCTTTGTTAATAACCAAATGTGTTTGGTGAATTGTATTTTCTTCTTCTTTTTTTTTTTTTTACATTTTTTCTTAATTTATTTTTGAGAGACAGAGTGAGACAGAGCACGAGCAGGGGAGGGGCAAAGAGACAGGGAGACACAGAATCCGAAGCAAGCTCCAGGCTCTGAGCTGTCAGCATACAGCCTGACATGGGGCTCAAACCCACAAACCATGGAATTGTGACCTGAGCTGAAGTCAGAAGCTCAACTGACTGATCCACCCAGGCACCCCAAGTGAATTGTATTTTCATATACAAAAGACTTTCGGGTAATTCCAGTGACATAGGTTCAAAGTCCTATGAGATGGAGGAAAGCTAAATAGATATAAGACTCAGATCTTACATCCTGAGCTGCCTATCAATACTCATAGCTCCAGCGAAGAGACGATGGGCACTGTGTCAGGGTGGTGGCAGAGGAAGTGGTGAGGGTGAGAGAGAGCACCAGCCTGGCCTGGCCTGCTGAGGAATGCTGGGTCTGAACAGAGCTCAGTACCGCCAATGTCCCTAGAGTGCTGGACTTTCTGTGAGGGAATAAGACTTTCTGTAAATACGTTGTTAAACGTGACTCTTCGATTACTAAAACAATCACAGTGATTAAAAACTTCAGTGTGGGGCACCTGGGTGGTTCAGTCGGTTAAGCATCCTACTTCGGCTCAGGTCATGATCTCACAGTTCATGGGTTCGAGCCCCGCATCGGGCTCTGTGCTGACAGCTAGCTCAGAGCCTGGAGCCTGTTTCAGGCTGTGTCTCCCTCCCTCTCTGACCCTCCCCTGCTCATGTTGTCTCTCTCAGAAATAAATAAAACATTAAAAAAAAAAAAAAAAAACTTCAGTGTGTTGAATATTCGATAATTAAATGATAAGGGTTTATTGTATCAGAATTTCTTCAAGTAGGCCTCCTTTTGAAAGACTTTTGTTCTGAGTTTTTTAAGAAAGTGTTATATTTTGAGAATACTTTCTTAAAAAGCTGAAACAAAACAAAGGGGGGGGGAGAGACAAACTGACAAAGAGACACTTAACTATGAAGAACAACCTGATAGTTACCAGAGGGGAGGAGAGGTGGGAGGATGGGTGAAATAACATAGGGGATGGGGATTAAGGACTGTGCTTGTCATGATGAGTGAAGGTGATGTCTAGAATGGTTGAATATTGTACACTTGAAACTTAACACTATGTTTACTGGAATTAAAGTAAAGCACTTATAGAGAACATGATATCGACATTTATAAAGGAAATCCTGGGGGCGCCTGGATGGCTCAGTTGTTTAAGCATCCAACTTGGGCTGGTCATGGTCTCATGGTTCGTGGGTTCGAGGCCCGCGTCAGGCTCTGTGCTGACTGCCAGCTCGGACAGAGCCTGGAGTCTGTTTCAGATTCTGTGTCTCCCTCTCTCTCTGACCCTCCCCTGCTCATGCTCTCTCTCTCTCTCTCACTCTCTCTCTCAGAAATAAATAAAATATTTAAAGAAATAAAAAAAAATAAAGGAAATCCTGTAGGATATGCAAGGAGAAATAAAGATAAACCTACCAAAAAAAAAAAAAAAAAAAAGGTTCCAATTGGCAATTCTCCAGCTCTAATCTACATCTATTATTTATTTTCAGTATTTATGTTAGGTACTAATCTTTTTTTTAACTTCTAATTTTTGAATTCCCTCAGTCCCCAAGACCACTCCTCATGCTTATGGCCCCAATAAAGCAATAAATATTTATTTAATTGATAAAGTTATTTTATTCATATTGATGTCTTTTGGAAGAGAAACTGAAGTATGAATAATCTGCAAGTCTTGCCAGTTTAATTATGTAATTCTCTGGGGAAAATAGACCTTGTAATGTTAACTAGATGTCGTATTTCCTAATAACAGGATTTTAACAGAAAAGAGCAATGTCAACATTTTATTTTTAGCTGGTTTAACATAAAAAATAAACACTCCTTTCTAAAAAAGTAACATAGTCTTAAGCTTTCCAGAGGAGTGTGGTTTCATTATCCCAAAGCTAATGAACAATCATTAGAGCAATCAGTACATACTATTTAATAGTTTGGTTTTTTTTTTTTGTTTTTTTTTTTTAGGTACAGGGAAAACAATGGTGATGGACATGTTTTATGCTTATGTGGAAATGAAGAGGAAGAAACGGGTTCATTTTCATGGTTTCATGCTAGATGTTCATGAAAGTAAGTTAAATGATCCAAGAGAAGGGGTTTTTAAGTGGACAAACATTACAATGTACTTTTCATCTTTTAAAATTATTAATCTTTTAATATTTTAACTTATTAGATTTTACTTAAGTAAGATTTTATTTGGTTTCATTTGTTTTGTGTTATATTGAAATGATTTGTAATGTATTTAGAGTTGATCCTAAAGACAGATTCAAATTCAGTAATTTCCCATAAGAGAAGAGAGGTTACTATATGAAGTTCAGGTATTTTCTCCTTCTACTAAGTATCAATAAGAAATGTTAAAAACTCACTTATTTCAAGTTGTTCTTGATAGGTCCTTTCCTCTGTGTTACCTTAGCATGCAGGCATTCATGTACTTGTAGGTATGCTTTATTGCTTTGTCAATGTTCCTTTTTAAAAATTTTTAATTTTATTTTTTGAGAGAGGGCACTGTGTCCGAGAGAGCGCATGCAAGTGGGGGAGGAGCAGGGGGAGGGGTGAGAGAGTATCATAGGCAGATTCTGTGCTCAGCATGGAGCCTCACGTGGGGCTCCATCTCACAGTCCTGAGATCATGACCTGAGCCAAAATGAAGAGTAAGATGCTCAACCAACTGCACCACCCAGGCTCCCTGCTTTGTCAGTGTTCTTAAGTTATTTCATTTTTGCATTACTTGTCTCTACCTGCTGTCCTGTAACCTCTCCAGGGCAGGAACATTGTGTTTCTCTTCTAATACTTTCAGCATTTAGTAACGTATAATAAGTGAAGTGGGACTGGCTAGAGACGAGAGAGCATCCTGATTACATATGCTAGACATAGGGCAGGATCACCTCCTCTGCCCACATCTCTGAAATCCTCAGCAGTAAGACTGGTCTGTTGATCCATCTAGTTATCATCTTTTCATCTAGCCTATCGATTTCTCATCTCTGAAGTGACTGAAAAGAGTAGGGATGGAATGACTACAAAGTGTCCTTGCAATCCTGGAAATGTATTAATGTGTGAACAGCTTATTTGAGGTAGAGAAAGTGCAGCCAGTTTTCAATAATCGCATTTGATTTTATGTGGCATTTAAACTTAATTTTTATGTTCACACTAAGATTTCACTTAGAGATTTAAGAGATACGTTATAGCTGTCTAAAATGTACTATTAATACAATATTTGATTTGTGTTTCATTGTATCCATTAAAGGAATACACCGCCTTAAACAGAGTTTGCCAAAAAGGAAACCAGGATTCATGGCTAAATCATATGATCCAATAGCTCCCATAGCTGAAGAAATCAGCGAAGAGGCATGTCTCTTATGTTTTGATGAGTTTCAGGTAAGGTAGAGATATATCATAGATGTAGAATGGTATGCTGAATGATACGTGAAGATTTAAATTCTGTTCCTGATTTTATCATTGTTGTATAAATTGACCTAATACATTGCCTCTTTAAAATTTTTTTTTTAAATGTTTATTTTTGAGAGAGAGAGAGAGAGAGAGAGAGAATGCAAGCAGGGGAGGGACAGAGAGAGAGGGAGTCACAGAATTGGAAGCAGGCCCAGCCTCTGAGCTGTTAGCACAGAGCCTGACACGGGGCTCAAACTCACTAACCATGAGATCATGACCTGAGCCAAAGTTGGACGCTTAACTGACTGAGCCACCCGGGCACCCTGACACGTTACCTCTTATGACTTTATTTTATTGTCTAGTCCAGGGGCCAGCAAACTATGGCTTGCACAGGGCAAATCTGGCCCATCTGCTTTTGTATGGCCCATGAGAAAAGAATGATTTTTATATTTTTAAAGGGTCTTTTCAAAAAGAAAAAGAAAATGCAACAAAAACCATAAGTGGCTTGCAAAACCAAAATATTTACTACTCAGTCTTTTATAGGAAAAGTTTTCCTTCCCCTATATTATAGTCAGTGGATTTACATTTCCCCTATACCACAATGGAGATAATGTCATGATTACACAGTAATGTCTAAAGATGTTTGAAGTTTTTTTTAATGTTTATTTTTGACAGAGAGAGAAAGAGTGCATGCACACACTAGGGAGCATGAGCGAGGGAGGGAGAGACAGAGAGAAAATCCCAAGCAGGCTGTGTGCTGTCAGCACAGAGCTGGACTCAGGGGCTCGATCTCATGAACTGTGAGATCATGACCTGAGCTGAAATCAAGTATCAGTCAACCAACTGAGCCATCCAGGCCCCCTGAAGTTTTTTTTAAGTGTCAGATAAAAAACCAAATGATTCATTCATCTCATTTAGACATTACAACTTATTTGTGATGAAGGGAGGGAGTTGGCCCTCATTGAATGTTTAAAGTTTCTTCTAGATTTAGGATTCTCTGAAATTGTGCGTTAAAATTGGTGATATGTTGCTTTCTGTTCTTTGTTTTCTATGAGAGCAAATATGGCCTACAGGCAAATACCATGTCTTATCTTTTTTCTGTATCCCAGAGTTTAATAACTCTGTAACCTAGAGTAACAACAGATGCTCTAGGTGAAGAATTACTTCCTCCTTATTTCACTGCTTTCTTTAGTAGTTTTGGAATGTAGTAGTTGGTTTTTCTATAATGCTTATCATAAGAGCAATTTATTATTGGAATAAAAATAGAAAAACTCACAAGTACTGAATATAAGTTTAAAAATAGGGCTTCACTGGGGTGCATAGGTGGCTCAGTTGGTTAAGCGTCAGACTTGAGCTCAGTCATAATCTCAAGGTTCATGAGTTCGAGCCCCACATTGGGCTCTGTGCTGTCAGCACAGATGCCTGCTTTGGATCCCCTATCCCTCTCTCTCTGCCCCTTCCCTGCTCGTTCTCTCTATCTCAAAAATAAATAAACTTAAAAATAAAGGCTTTACAGCCAAAGCTTTTGAATAATATTTCTGCAGCTGAGTGCAGACACTCCCATGTCTGATTGCCTAAAATAAAGGCCCAGAGAACTTTCAAGGGTAGGAAGTTAACATTTGTTTTGTGCCTACTCTGAGGTGGGCTCTGGGTGAGTCACACATTTTATTTAAACCTCCCAACATATTTGTGATGAAGTGAGGGAGCTGTCCTAGTTGAATTGTAAAGTTTCTTACAGTTTTAAGATTCTCTGAAGTTATGCATTTAAATTGGTAGTGAGTTATTTCTTGTTCTTCTGTGTTTAAAAACCTGGGTTGGTGGGAAGATAAGATGGCCAGAATGCCTTTATCTCAAACAAGACATGATAAGTCTCCTTTAGCAACTTGATACACTTATCTAAGAGCAGTCTCGATTTATGAGAGATGCGAAGGAAGAATTTTCACCAGAAATGGTGTTACACTGAGCCATCTAGCGGGGAGGAATCTTTATTTCTTTTTCCCTTCAGTCTATTAAGATAGCCTGGCATTCACTTGTACTGTACAACTACAAAGGTCTTCAAAAGAAAGGCTCATGGGCAAGAAATGCTCACTTTTACTACTCTGAAGAAGTGTACTAAGTACACCAATGTGTTGCAGAAAGAAAAGGCCCTCGTTTAATTCTTTTTGTTTTTTAAGTTTATTTATTTATTTTGAAAGAGAGAGATCATGTGTGTGAGCTGGAGAGAGGCAGAAAGAGAGAGAGAGAGAGGGAGAGAGAAAATCTCAAGCAGGCTCTGAGCTGTCAGCACAGAGCCAGAAATGGGTCTTGTTCTCATGAACTGTGAGATCATGACCTGAGCCTAAACCAAGAGTGAGAAGCTCAACTGACTGAACTACCCAGGCATCCCTAGTTCTAAAAGTAGTGCCAAGTTGACAGTTATCCTGTCTTCAGTAACAAAAGTCAGCAATAAGTCAAGGAAAGCCATTTCTCTTGTTTTCTCATTATGAGTCCTAACCACATTTTCACTAAATAAAATTGAGTTGGCACAGTTAACTTAAAAAAAATTTTTTTATGTTAATTTCTTTATTTTGAGAGTGAGAGAGATAGAGACAGCACAAGCAGGGGACTCAGAGAGAGAGGGAGAGGGAGAAGGAGAGAGAGAGAGAGAGAGAAAGAATCCCAAGCAGGCTCTGTGCTGGCATGGGTCTCTAACTCACGAAACTGTGAGATCATGACCTGAGCCAAAACTAAGAGTTGGAAGCTCGACCGGCTGAGCCCACCCAGGTGCCTCTGAAGTTAAATTTTAAGAAAGTGTACTAATACCCAACCTGTGTAAAATGATTCGTGGTTTACAAATTGTTTTTATATCCTTACCTCATTTAATTCTATAAAATAGTTATGATATTCATTATGTAGATGAGGATATAGAGACATCAGAATTTCCTCAGTATCATATGAAAATCATTACCCTTAACTTAAAAAATGTAAATTTTAAAACATTCAGAGCAAAGATTGGCCTGTATCTGTGACATGATGACCATTGACAAGATTATTTAAGAAGCTAAGGAGGTGATGAAAAGTTGGTTGTGCAAAAGAAACCCTGAGAAGATTAATAGCAAGCAGGCTCAACTACCCATGAGGAACAGTAGATACAGTACTTAGGGTGCATGATACTTTTAGGGCCCCATGAAAATATTTTCATTTCTTTTAAAATTTGAAGAAAAAATGAATGTATCATAGTGAATTCAGCCGGTATCTCTGTATCTGTATATATTTTATACTAACATAGTCATAAAATACAACTTAGATATATCAACACACATATTTTCAAATGTATTTTCTAGTTGAGGAAGGGGCTCATGAAGGTCAAGTGCCTAGGACCCATGAAATCATAATGCCGTCCTGATAGTGAGGTGCTAATGGAATCCTCTCTGGTTGCACTGGGCATTCTCCCTGGAGTTCAGATTTCAGAAGGTTGATGCATGGGTGAGAAGAAGGAAACAAAAGCAACTCTCAGGACACTTATGTTCCAAATGAGTGAGTCTTGCAAAAGAAAGACAGGCAATAAAAATGATTTTTCAAATTGTGTATTAAGTATAAAGGAGATCAAGGGGGAGACAGGCCCCTCGCTTGTAAAATGTTACCTGTCAACAAAGAGAGAGTGGATGTGATGGAGCTGTCATCGCCTGCCCTGACCAGAGCTGGTTTGGTGTTCATTCATTCGTTTACTCATCCATCCCTGTTGCCTTAAATAAAGACCCTTATCCCATGTTATGACACCCTATCTGACCCACAGTCAAATGGACCATGTCTGGACATCTGGTCTATGAGTAGCCCACACGGTTGCCAACAATACTGCACTTGTGTCGTGTGTTCTGGGGATTTAGCCAATTGTATACTCTGTCTCATGTCTTTGAAGTAAAAGGCACCAAGGGCAGTTCTTGCGCAGTAATGAAACAGGAACAAAGAGACCTAGGAAATAACTGAATCCCATTAAGGGGAGGACCACAAGGCTGTTCCCTGGAGAGCTGCTGAGCTCTCCAGAGCTACCTCTGCTCCCAAGTCAGTCTTCAGCCCCAGTTCCTAGTAGGTACTAACAGTGATGTTTCTATCCTGGAGTCTTATTTATTTATTTATTTATTTATTTATTTATTTATTTATTTTTGAGAGAGAGGGAGAGATAGAGAGGGGGAGAGAGAGAGGGAGAGGAAAACATGTGCATTACAAGCTGGGGAGTGGTAGAAGGAGAGGGAAAGAGAGAGTCTTAAGCAGGCTCCATGCCCAGCAAGGAGCCCATGCAGCCCATTTCAGCCCTGAGCTGAAATCAAGAGTTGGACGCTTAACTGACTGAGCCACCCAGGCATTCCATGCATCCTGGAGTCTTAAGTAAACCCCTTTTCTTTATCTGAATCTCCTGTCCTTCTTTCTTGCAAGCAGTCTTGGTGAGGATGGAACTGATCAACTCCTGTTTTGCTCTTATCTGCCTTATTAGTAGGGATTTCCCCATGGTCTGTAAAAGCTAGGAGTACTGTCAGGAAATGTCACCTTGCTTCATATAAAATGCAGTACCTCCAATGGAAGGAGAATTACCTGATGAACTAAAGACAAAAGATTCCAGAGATGAGGTATCTCTTAGGATGCTTTTGGCTGCGGGTAACAGAAAACCGAATTTAAAAAGGCTTATACTCTAAGTGGGGGAGCTGGGGGGTGGGGTGGAATACAAGAAGATAGTGTCATTCCTTTTATTCAAGTCCGCCTCCTTCCTCTCTGATCTTATGTCCTATACTTTCAGCCTTGCTCATTGCTCCCTACTATTTCCATCTCTCTTGTTTTCATAGGTCAGGGAACCATAGCTAATAGATTTGGGTGTTATACCAAATGCTTCTTTCCCATCAGGTCTCTGAAGAAAATATGCACAGAGATGGTAAAACAAGACTGAATACCAAATTGCTTGGTTTTATTTACTCCTTAAGGTTACTAGAATGAAGCATTCTAGTATGTCAGAGTTGACAACATGAGAGACTGTGCTTTTAAGAAAGTTAGCCTGTATGTCTTAGGATGAAAAATATTAGTAGCTTTGCTCTTTTGTTTCCTCTACAATGCCAGACTCGAACCCTAGAGCGTGTATGCAGGAACCCTGTATGCAAGAAAAGGCAATATCTGCATATACCCACTGTTGAAGAACCAGGAATGCAAGAGTATAAGGGCAAGAATACGTACCCTAAGGCAGAGGCTATCACTGAGCAGAACCTGAATTGCCTATATTTTTTTAAAATTTATTTTTATTAAATTTTTTTTAAACATTTATTTATTATTGAGAAGACAGAGCATGAACATGGGAGGGACAGAGAGAGGGGGAGGCACAGAATCTGAAGCACGCTCCAGGCTCCATGCTGTCAGCATAGAGCCTGACGTGGGCTCGAACTCACAAACTGTGAGATCATGACCTGAGCCAAAGTTGGATGCTTAACCGACTGAGCCACCCAGGCGCCCCTGAATCTCCTAGTTTTAATATCCAGACTGTGTTGCACTGATCTGAGAGAAGCTCCTCCAGCACACCCAAACTGGATTATTGCTGGTCCCAATCTCTCCTTGTCCCTCATTCTAAAATTCAAGAGGGTAAAAGGATCCCTCCAAAATATTGTACAGCAGCATTCTGATCCATACAGTTAAACAACTAAGCAAAGCCTTTGCTCTGAACTTTCTGCCTGGGATAGTCTGTCTAGAACAGTGTTTGAGGATGAATGAATGAATTATAGTGAGTGAATGAATGAATAAATCTAGTACCAAATGGTAAATATTGAGCTAGTCTCCCAACTAAGTCCCACTCCCCTATGTATAATAAGAACACACAATTTTTCCTGTCAACATTCTGAATTATCTTAACATTTTTTGTCTAATGTAATAGATGAAAAGTTGTATCTCATTGTTTTAATGTGTATTTAAGTAATAATACAGTTGAATTTTTCTATGTTTACTAATTAAAATCTATCTTTTTTGAACTGTTTGAGACAATGCCATTTATTGGAATGCTTACATTCCATCTATTATCTGTAATAACATTAGCTATTGTTTGTTGAGTACTATGGGACTATGTTCTTAACTACTGTACTATGCTATGTATCATTTCCATCTATAGCTAAAATTCTCTACAGCTAAGTGTAAATAATATGCAATTATACTAGCATATATACCATACATAGATAATAGTCACAGCTGACATTTCTTGAGGATTTACTCTAAGGAGCATAACAATTTTGCAAGGTAGGTATTGTTACTTCCTTCAGTACATTGATGAGGAGATTAAGGGTCAGTGAAGTTAAGTAACTTGTCCAAGGTCACACAGCTGGTACTCCAGTTTGAATTCATCATCAGTGCTCTAATTCATTAGTAATAACAGCTATGTTATATGTTCTCTTTATGTGATGTCTTGTATTATATATTTAAATACAGAAATCTAGAGCTGAATTGACTTTTAGTAGATATTTTAATGACAGAACTTAAAAATTATCCTTAAGCCTATTAAGTGTAGTATAACACATTGCTGATTTTCTAGAAAAGAAATTTTTAGGTACTTTTCTTAACAGCCATATGTCTACAATCACAACTTCAGACTTTTAAAATTGAATCCTACTAGCAGTCTTGATTTTTAACTAGTTATTATTGGCCTTTTAGGTTGTGTTAATTAATATAATATTTATTTTATGAGGGAGCTGGATGGGAATTAATGCTGCTTAAAATCAAGAATATGTGTGCTCTTGAACTTGAGGAATTTAAAAATTATGTTTTGGTAGCATTCAGATTACATTTCCAGAATATATTCCTCATCAGCTTGGTCATTTTAACTAAGTATAGCATTTCAGGCTTGCCTGTGGTATCAAATATACTATTCTTATTTTGTTTGAGAAATTAGGGTAGGTCGGTTGTTTTTATGTGTTTTAGTTGCTAAAATAAAAGAACATCTTTTCCTCAGAGTTTTCTGTAGCGTCTTCATTGTGTTGACTTTGAATGTTTATGTTTCTCATTAAATCATTTATGATTCTGAAGAGATACAATACTGAAGGAACCGTTAAAAATGTTATTTCATCCTGTCCCTTTTAGGGACACTGGATAGATGTTTTACGAGTATGGTCTTTTAAAAAAAGGATTCTGATGAGCAGAATATAACGCAAAATTCTCCTCTATAAGCTATCAATATCATTTAAAAAATAGTTTTGACCGTTTTTGTAAAACAGAAAAGCTATTAAAAACTGCTAATAAAAAATAGGTGCTTATTTTTGTGCTAATACTAATTACTGATAATGCATGCTTATGTTTGTCACTCATTACATGGCACTGTACCAATCAGTGGGTGACTGAGACTCGAGCACTTACATATGTAAATTAACCATTAGATTTTTTTTTTCCCCCTTTTTTACTTAAGTGAGTCATAATGGAAAGCAACTCTAGGTCATAAAAAATCTTTTCTCTTTAATGCTAATGAAATGTCTCCCCTCTCTGTATTAGCAGACTACCCTTATTGGTAATCTGTAGCCTTCTCTTTTGTTCCTGGTGGTAATGAAATGCTGGGTGCTAAAAAAGCCCGCTCTCCAAGAATGTGTGGCCAATTGTCTTCTGTTCACTTATACTGTAAAATTACTTTTCCCCAGCAAAGCTGAACAAGTGTGGGGACAAGATCAAAAGAGTATACATTTGGCACCCGGCTACCCCAAGTGACTCCTGCTTTATTAATTAGCCATAGCTTCTCCAAGTTAATTTACTCTGATAGAGCAAAAACATTTCGTAGTACAAAAACAACAAATGATAATTCAACCACAAGTCTTTAATAGTTTGCTTTCTTCAACTTCCAGTTTAAACCTTTGCACAGTGTTGTAAGCTAGATGTCTCTCCACTTTTCTGAATCTTAGGGCACAAAAGCTGTTTTTAATTTTTTTCGAAAACATTAGTGAGATAGTCAGATGGCAATTTTTATTTTCTAAAATTGGGTAACTTTTAATTGATACCATTCTTTTTAAAAGTCAGTGTATTGGGAATCCAATTTAGAAGCGCGCTTGCTTCTGAAATTTGTAGGCTTGTTTGTTCTCTCATCAGAAATGCCACTGGTGTTTAAGCATTTGAAAAGGGCCTTCTCTGTGAGTATTTTTGCGGAAGCAAAATTTGACAGTGATCCTAAGCTCCAAATTTAATAAAATCACTCTCTTCTTAAGTAATTAAATAGTACTGCTTTTCATTTTAATTACCACTTTGTGAGTTCCTGAAGTCTTTTGAATTTAAGAAGTCTCCAGTAGTTTTTTTAGCTAATGTTTTAAAGTTAGAGCTTGAGACAGCAAAAAAAAGAGATCCGTCTGCGCATCCCTATTTTCTAGTTTGTTTTTGTTTTTGTTTAGGTGGGAAGGAAATAATGTAATGTTTGTATAAAATAATCACCTGAAAAGAGAAAAGTAATTGAGACCTGTGTAGCCCAGGTGGCTATTGTCAGTTATGTTACAACTACTTAGTTGGTAACTTTCAGTATTTTGATTTAATTTGAAAGAATTCCCCCAGTTTCTATGCTCTAACATGGTTTAAAAATAACAATGTGATATTAATTATGTGATATATTTTGTGAATATAAAACAAATTTTATTATCCAAAAAGCTATTAAAGAAAGATCAAAATGCTTTACCTAAAAACCATATTTATTATGTTTATAAGGGAAGGTACAATCATTAACATCTACTTTCACTGTACATTTGTTTTTGAACTCAACTTCCTTCCCTCCTTAATTTCTGTATTTCTTTGTGATTTTAAAAAGCTTTTTTATAAGTTATTAAGCTTACTTGTTAATTATGGATGTTTAAAAATAATTTTAGAAAAGATAGCTCTATGTATCTCTAACATAGGTGGAACAGTCTTATCTATATTATGCATTCTGCTTTTGTCAGAAGTAATTTTTTAAAGCACTGTATTAACCATTCTTGTAAGGTTTTTGTTTTTTTTCCTTTTTAATAGAAGGAATATTTGTGTTTGCGAAGGTTAGCAGAGGCTGGCTGTGCTGGAAGTGACTGCAGTGCCTTTTGATTATTCATGGACAGTAATAGAAGGCACTTAAAAAGAACAATGAAATTGCTTATTTTTGTGATGGGCCATCTGTTGAATTGTTTTGTGCAACAATTGCACAATAGTATCTATGTCATATCATTCTATTTTCAACAGCAGCTGATTATGTCTCACTGGCTATTTGTCCTTATTTCTAAAGTCTCATGACCATTTAAAGTCACCTTTTCAGGGACCTTTGCCAGAAAGGTATTAGAAATATCAACCAGCTTGTTTATTATTCTTTTTTTCTTTATTCTTTCTCTCTCTCTCTCTTTTTTTTTTTTTTTTTTTTTTGGTGGTGGGGCGGTGGATGGGGTCCATGATGGGAGCAGGAGGAGGGATTTGGTCATGTTAGCTCTAATTAATTAGACTTCCTAAATGTTTAGGACAATTATCTATGCTTTCCACCTGTAGTTTATAAAAGAAGTTAACACAGAACCATCTGATAATTTGGGTAGAAATGATAGGCTTGCAAAAAAGAGTCAAGTTTAAAAGACTACTTTACACTCTTTCATGGTTTTAATTGTCTCCTCTTTTCTTCATGATGGTAATTAGAATTTTTCTCTTGGAATTCACTTCCATCCTTAAAAAAAAAAATGAGCCATTAGCAAATTTGTTAGAGCAGAAGTGAAATTAAAATAAAACAAATGTGTTGTTGTCCGTAGGTCACTGACATTGCTGATGCCATGATTCTGAAACAGCTTTTTGAAAATCTGTTCAAAAATGGGGTCGTCGTTGTGGCAACATCCAACAGGCCACCGGAAGGTAAAAACAAACATTGTGCTGGTCTCATGCAATTAGGTGGAAAATAACAAGCTTTGAAAAATCCATAATTTTATACTCAAATTATTGTGTTAATAAAATCTGATGACTTTGCTTACTATTGATTTTATAACAATCTAAAAAATCAGTTGGTATTTGTATTTGAAAAATGTTTATATTCTCCTCAAGTTAAACCCATGTGATTCCCTGTGTTTGATGCACTTGCTGTTTTTTCTGAGTATTAGAAGATCATATATTCGTATCCAAAAATGATGCTGGGGGGCGGCTGGGGGGCTTAGTCGGTTAAGCATCTGATGCTTAGACTCTTGATTTTGGCTCAGGTCATGATCTCACAGTTTGAGCCCAACGTCGAGCAGGAGTCCTCATGTGGAACCTGCTTGGAATTCTCTCTCTCCCTCTTTCTGCCCCTCCCGTCTATATTCTCTCTGTCTCTCTCCCCCCGAAAAAAAAAAAAATAAGGAAGAAAATGATGCCAGCAGGCAGGCCAGGTCTCAGGATCCAGAAGGGGCCCTGCGGGACCAGCCAAGAGGGTCCTTGGCTTTGTGCAGGATGGAAATCAAATGCAAACACCAGGAAGTGAGAACAGCTTACTAAAGACATAGAGCAGATACAGATGGAGCATCTGGGAGACTCAGAAGGGAAAGGAACATGAGTTTTGTCTTGGTTGAGGGCCTGGGGTTTATTAAGGATTGTGGTCTGCTGTACGTGTCCTTTCACGCATCCAAAAACTGATTAGAACAAAGACGAGGGCACAGGTGTTAGTCCTTGGAACCAGGGGGTCTTGGCATTGAGATGTCTAGTGTGGGTGGTCTGGAATGTGCATATCATCGGTCATTCTCACCTGGTCCTTCCTTAGATGTTATCTATTCTAAGAAATCGTTAACTCCTTGTCCCTTACAAGGAGGGCCTACACCTGCTTGCATTCTGAGGCCTGGGTAAAGTGGGGTGCAGGTCCTAGCAAGAATAGAACCAGGAAAAGGAGCAAAAAGCAGATTTTTATGGAGTTCTTCAGTTTCTCAGTTTCAAAAATACAAGTGTTTCTAATTGCTTTTTAGGGGCCATAAAAGAAACTCAATGAAATGAAAAACAAAACTTCTAATTGAATCTTAGAAAAAAGAGTTAAATCTTCCTTGCATAAGTAGTTTCTAATACTTAATTTTATTTCTAAAAAAACCACTTGTGGCTTATTTGACATTATTTAAGGATTAAAATACAAGTAATATTTAGATAAAAACAAGTTTAAAATGTTTTATCTTTCAGCCCCATGATGTGGTCATTTTAAGGTCAGAGGAGCCAAAATCATTATTTAATGCATTATTAAAGTTAACATCTTTCTACCCTGGAATGCTCTACCACCTGGAATTCTCTGTATGGCTAAGTCTTTACCTTTTATCAGGTCTTTACTCAAAAGTTATTTTGTCAAAGAAGTCTAGACTTTCTATTTGAATCTATAACCCATCCCTTCATTTTTCTTTCCTTGCTTCTCCTTTCCTCCTTTATTTTTTCCCATCACATGTATAGACCCACCATATAATTTACTTATTTACTGTACTGTGGTTTATTGTCTGTCCCCTTCCAGGATGCAAAGGATTCATGAAGGCAGTGACTTTTATCTCTTCTGTTCCTGGGTATATACTAAGCAACCAAAACAGTGCCTAGCACTTGCATGGATCTCAGTAGTCTTAGAATGAATGTTCAATGAATGCATGTGTTTAAAGGTTCTCCCTGGCTGCAATACTGAGAATAGATTGTGGGGATGAGATTTCAAGGTTGGAATTAAGGATACCGTTTACGAGATCATTGCTGCAATCCTGAGGGGAGTTGATGGAGCAGTGAGGGTGATGAGAGTAGTCAGAGTTTGGATATATTTTGTAAGCAGAGCCATGAGGATTTACTAATGCGATGAATATACGGTATTGAAAAAAAAGAGAGAGGGGTAAAGAACAACTCAAAGGTTTTGGCTTGAGCAGTTAGAATGATAAAGTTGAGGTTTCCTGAGATGGAGAGGACTAGAGAACAAGCAGGTTTGGGTAGGGAGGGGGAAGTACTGAGGCAGATGCATATAAGTGTTTGGATTTTAGTGGAAAAGTTTAGATTGGAGATGAAAGTTTGGGCGTTCATTGGTCCTAAAGGAAGCTGGTAAGAGCAGCCAGTGAGGTAAGAGGAGAACCAAGAAAGTGTCACTTGAAGAAAAGGAAAGTGGTACAAAAGGATGGATGGTCACCTTTGTTAAATGCTGCTAGGAGGTGAAGATCGACCATTGAAATTAGTAACATGGAGCTTATTGGTGAATCTGAAAAGAGCAATGTAATAGTGATAGTGTGTTTTCTCCTTAATGAGCCATGTCATGTGGATGACTTATATTGAGTTTGTAATCTGTTATTACCTAGATCTTATTTTGTGAGCTGCTGTCAAACTAGGTCTCTCTCATTCTATGGTTGAGTAGTTGATTTCTCTTTTCTTCCTGTTACATTGCAGCTTATGAGTCTGTCTGCATTGTTCAATTTTGTGATTTATGTTTGATTATATTTGATTTATGTTTATATCTTTTTTATGTGATTCTAGCAGATTATTTTTAGCTATCCCTACTATGACATTTATATAATGGTAATCATGCTGTTATATCTTTAGCCACTCATTAATTAAAATGTGTAAATAGGGTAAGACCAAGTTTAGGCCCTCATAGCATACCATTGGAGGCCTTATTTTAGGGAGCCATCAGTTAATTAATACTATTAAATCCAGTTATTCAAACAACTGTAGTTATGCTTAATCTGTTATACTATCAGAGAACTGTGAATGATTCTATCAGATGCACTTATTAAAATGTATATACTGTTATAGATAGCATACTTGTGATTTACTAGGGTGGTAACTCTATGAGACACAGCAGTGAGTTTTTTCATATGAGCTCATCTGTCAAGACTGTGATTTACCTGACTGTTGACTTAACTGTGTCATCAGTATTGCCTTTAGACATACGGGAACGAGCAATGTCCATAAATAGCAAGGTGGTAGAATGAGCTTGAAACACCGCCCCTACCCCCACCAGCGCAGTTTGCTGCTCAGCCAGCAGTGTAAACTGAGGAATGACAGCCATAGGGAAAGGTTAAGGAGTATTCTGGAACTCATAGCTTTGTAGGAGTGAGCAAAGTTACAGGCCCATCAAGGTAGCCTGCAGAAATCCAAAGTGGAGCCACTTTTCCAGAGAAGACTGAAAGTTCAAGATGTGGGATTACAAAAATTGGACATTAACCACAAACTTAAAGCCTTTTCTAAATATTAACCATTGAAGGGACACGGTCATACATTCGTTTTGTTTGTTTGTTTGTTTGTTTTGTTTTGCCATGGCAGACAATCATCATAAATGGCTTAATATTTTAATATAAAGAAGATGACATATACATAAGTGCCAGGAAAAGATAAAAGTATAGGACAAAGAATAAATAGGTCAGTGGTTGCCAGAGGCTACTGTGGGAAGGTGTAAGACTGCAAAGGGGTAACATAAGAGGATTTGGGGGGTGTTTTGTATCCTGGTCATGGTTGTGATGACATGTATTCAAACTAATAGAACGGGAGACCAGAAAAGTTAGTTAAAATGGAAAACAAATCACATGGATAAGAAATGGCAGAAAAGAGGTTAGAACCTAGGTTTTGTGACTCTTAACACATTATCCTCTATCATTTCTCCTTGTTGATCTCCACTGATCTTTGTCTACTACTTTGTCCTAGATAAAGTGTGTTCTCTTTTCCAACCATCAAAGTGCATTCAACTTTTTCTTTAGGTCACAGCTTTTAATCTAGAGCCTCCAGATAGGTTGTTATTTATTTTTTTAAATAGCATCTACTTATCTGAGTGTTACAAGAGGTGGGAGAAGAATCTTCTTCTCAGAGGGATGAGGCAGCCCAATGGCTGGAGAGAGAATGACTCATTTGAGGAACTGAAAGGTAGCCAGACTGGCTGGAGTACAGTAAAGGAAGGAAAGTAGGATGCGAGGAAGTACATACAACATGAATCTGGAGAAGACAGTTAGACCTTATAAAAGTCATAAGGATTTTGGATTTTATTCTAAGAGAAATGCGAGGACTTTGGAGTACTTTAAGTAGGGACTGACAAGAACAGTTAGACTATCATTGGGTATAGTGTGGAGAATGGGCTGCGGAGTGGGGTGCAGTGATACAGTGGATTCAGCAAAGGCATATTTGGAGGCTCCTACAGCACATGGTAAGAAATGGGGTTAGTTGGGCATAAGGCAGGGATTGTCACCTAGGGGGCTAATTTGGCAGTGTTTGGGACATTTTTGGTTGTCACAACCAGACAGAGTAGAGGTGAGTGTTGCTATTGGCCTCTAGTGGAATTCTTGGTGGAAGCCAAGAATTCTGCCAGAATAGCCTATAATGTGCAGGACTGCCCCTCCAGCAAGGAATTAGCTAACCAAAAATGTCTATCGTTCTGAGTTTGAGAAACTCTGATACATGGTGATATCAATGGATATGGAGAGGATAGATCTGAAAGATATTCAAAAAGTAAAATGGATAGTACCTGGTTATAGGGTAGATATTAAAGAAAAGGGGAAAGAAGATTTACAAATTGTTTTAAAATTTTAGGCTGGAAAATTATAGGCTTGTACAACTAGGTGGTGATGCCTGTCATTCAATAAAGATAGAATAGTCTGGAGGTTAAAGGTCCTGAGGATAGTTCTCAGTGGAGAAAAACCAGTTTTTCTCTTCATTAATTTTTTTAGCCTCTCTCTTTAATTTTCTTCCACTTCATTCATCTCATTCCCTCCATTTCTAGTTGTGAAGCATCAACTTCATAAACAAGAATGGAGATTATTGTTGTTGAGGGAAGCTGCTATCATACCCTAACCTTTCAATAGCTTATAACTTGTCAATTAATAGACAAATTAAGTTTAATATAAAATGATCAGAACATTTAGTAAGCAATTAATAATTTTAGTGAAAAATAATTGATAGCCAAG